CACATTTCCTAGTTCCTTTTGTTTTGTGGTCACACAATGGAATTAATAGGCAGCCGGTTTAAAAGAAATGTAAGGAAGTACTGCTTCACACAACACACGCTCAACTGTGCAACTTGTTGCCAGGGGATGTTGTGAAAGTGGAAAGTTATAACTGGGTTAAAAAAAGAATTAGGTAAGTTCATGGAGGTCCATCAGTGGCTATTAACCAAAGTGGTCAGGGAAGTAGCCCCCTGCCCTGGCGTTCCTAAATCTCTGACTGCCGGAAGCTGGGCCTGTACAACGTTGGATGGATCACTTGATAAGTTGCTCTGTTCTGTTCATTCCCTCTGAAGCATCTCGCACCGGCCACTGTCGGACGACAGGATACTGGGCTAGATGGACCATTGCTCTGAGCCAGTATGGCCATTTTTTATGTTCTCAATATGACTTTGGGGATGGGGAGCAGGGGTGCGAGCCTTGGAGATGACAGTGAGAGTTCAGAAAAGGAATCGTTCCCCCTCTCAAAAATAAGTTAGGATTAGAGGCATGAGAAAAATGTAGGCTGCGTATCTGGAATGCTTAGCAGAGTGCCTGGCTGATGGGATAGACTCCTCAAGGGAGGTGGCTGGCTCTTTGAGAAAAAGGTTACATGTTAGTAGGTCTGAGCCCTGCAGGGGGCTTTTCTGACTTCGTGATTTCTGAACCTGAATGCTCTGGACTGCTGGAGCGGAGCTGGCTGTGTGTGTCTGTGAAAGGAAACTGGCCATTTTAACACCGGCAGACTTCATGGTGGTTTTTCTGTTCCAGGGCACTGAGTCCATAAAGTTGGAAAATGGACAGAGCACAGCAGCTAAGCTGGGGCTTCCTCCTCTCACCCCGGAACAGCAGGAAGCCCTTCAGAAGGTGAGTGGCCCTCGTGTGGCCTTTCTTTAGCTCTTCCTGATCGCTAGTGTCAGACTTGCTGCCACAGAGGGGAGAACACCAGGTGGGGAACCCGCCTGCCAGGAATACATAGGGGATACTGACTGCGCTGTCCCTGCACCTGAGCTCTTAGAATCGTGCCCAAGAAATGTTTTTTCTTAGTTGTGAGTTCCTAGTAGCTGCATGGGAACATTATGGGATATATTTGTTTAAAAAAACAACCTTGCTGAGATCAAAATAGATAACCGCTTGATCTTAAACTTGTTAAGAGGTTTCTCTGATCCCAATGATGATGAGATGCTGCTGCCCCAAAGTCCCTGTCAGGTGCAGCCTGGACTCAACAATTAATAGATTCCAGAAATGCTCCAGCTGAATCCTCTGCAGGATTCATGCTAGAACACACTGCAAAATCTCTCTACCTTTCCTGTGCTCTCTGGCAACTAATTACTTGCCCCTTTGTAATAAGGGGACCTTTAATATACTGCAAAGATTATTTCATCCCTTTGGAGCCAAGCTATTTTAATTGTAGAACAAGTCCATCCCAACTCTGATCTCTGGTTCTGGATTCTATGTGTGCAGCTGGTGAGGACATTACTGCTGACTTCTGGCTTCCGCTCCTAGTGGGAACGGGTGATGTCTGAAGTGCTGAGAGGAGAGCAGAGCAGAGTTGGGAATGGAGGGGAAGGTGGGAGCTGTGGGCTAGGTGTCTCCCAGCTTCTGGTGAGGCAGGTATGCCATTGTTCTCTGTAGGCTTGGTGTGAATGTTCCCATAATGCTGAAGCTGCTTGTGTGTCTGTGTTTGGCTCGCAGTGTGAAACGGCTTCGTTTCCTCTGGCTACTCCATAGCTGACAGATGTAAATCCCATTGTCCGTTTCCAGGTTTCCGAAGCACCCGCCTCAAATCCACGGTTTAGAGCCTGCCGTTCCCCGGCACCTCCCAAACACGTACAGCAATGGAAAGCAGGTGCCTTTGAGTGGGGTTGGCTGAATCTGTCCGTCCTGTCACCTGGGCATGGCACATCCATGGGTATTAGTGACCCCTTGATTAGGAGCCTCCATCTCAGCATCATTGGATGTGCAAGGCTCAGTGTTTTCCAGAGTGGTAGAAGGCTGGGTAAAGGAAAAAGAGTTCAGCCTTGTAGCCACAGGTCAGGGGACTGATGGAGGGAGCTGGAGTATATAGAAGGACCCACAGCTCCTGCTTACCAAGATAGTGTAGGCCTGCTCTGACAAGGAAGGGATTTGCTCAGTGCAGAGTCTGGGCATGGGGAATAGGAGCTGCCTCGCTCTTTGTAGAACCTTTTGTCCAGATGTTCTCTGAGTGGAAAGGACTTGAAGGAGACTATCTGTCCTGCCCTCAACTCAGCAGGTAAGGTGCAGTGGTGGGAGCTGAGGGGCAGAGGGAGGAAGAGGGAAATGCTGAGTGTGTAGTGCATGATGCTTTCCTAACATTGCGCCTGCTGCAGACTCTGAGTCCACCCAGTCCTTGCTCAAGCATTGTGCTGTATTTCAGGGTGAACAACTCCAAGATGCTGACCAAGATCATAGTAAGCTGTCGGCCCTTGACTAATGAAAAGTGCCTTAGTGCTTGGGGCCGGAGCACTGGAAAGCACCAGTGGCAGCCAGTTGTGGGGTTCTGGGGAATGTTGTATGAAGTTAAATGTCCTTCCCTGGCGCCTTGTGGAGTCCTGTGCCCTGTGATTATGGAGACTGTATTTCCTTCCAGGCAAAGAAGTATGCGATGGAGCAGAGTATCAAGAGTGTGCTGGTGAAGCAAACCATCGCCCACCAGCAACAGCAACTCACTAACCTGCAGGTGAGAGATCCCTTTGGGTTCATCCCCTTGCCTTTACTCTCCCCACAAGGTGGAGCCTTTTATGCACTTAGAACCAGAGCACAGCCCTGAGGTCTGCCTGGAGCCAGGTACTTGCACTTCTGTTTCCGCAGTGAAATCGAAGTATGTTGTCTTCGGCCCTGTCAAGGAAATCCCTCTCCTGTCCTCATACATACGCTCACCCTCCCTGCCCCCCAAGAAAGCAAACTGCCCTGGGAAGAGAAGCTAATGCTTCCTCTTCTGTTGGCTGGCTAGATAATTTTTTCAGTTGCCAGAAAATCAAAGCATCTGCGGTGAGTTCCACTGTCAACCTGAAGCTAAGGTGGTGTCTGGGGTTACTGGGAGCAGTATCCTTTCACCATCCTTTCCCCCATGAAGAGATGGTGCCTGTCTCTCTGGCTTTGCTGGCAGTGTCACCGCTACCGTGGACTCTGTGGATTTTTCTCAGAACTCCAGCTGGTTATTCCTGCTAATGCAGGATTGTCCAAGTCCTAGGAGACCTCTCTGCTGCTGTTTAAACCCCCCTTCCTTCTGAGAGTCCTTATATACAGCTCGCTGCCTCCTGCTTGAGGTTAAGGAGCCTAGAATAATGATTTGGGGGGTTGTGTATGTTTAAAAAATGTTGAAGTGGGGATGTGGCAGCCGCATTAGGCAGCTCTGGCTTTTCAGGGCTGTGTATGTTTCTGGGCGGCTGCTCTAGATGAGGGGCTCCTTGTAATTGCTGGGGGTGAATCAACGACAGTGGTTACAGAGGTTACTATTGCCTTGAGTCCCCCCTGGGAGAAGACCCTGCTTCCTGAGGCAGTGGCAGCAGCACACCCCTACCCAGAGTTGGTGGGACTGGCATCTGCAGGGTCCCAGCGCTGGACAGTCCTTGGGACCGGGCAGTGAGGGGCAAGGAAGGAGAGGCCTCTCCCACAGGTTCCCTGTGCCGTCGCTCTCTGCTTGAGTTTTTACGAACAGCCGTAGTATGCTCAGCTCCAACAGACTGAACTCTGTCTTTACTGTCTTTCAGATGGCAGCAGTGACAATGGGCTTTGGAGATCCTCTCTCACCTTTACAATCGGTCAATAGACATATTCACTTCTTCTTGGGCACTTTGTCTTAGTCAGGGCCTAGAGTGGGGAAGTATTTAGTGGTAATACAATGCTCTTAACTAAACCCAGCACAACCCTCCCACATACCCACCTGCTATGGACAAGCACAACAAACTGAGACAAAGTGTAAACTCCCCAAAGGAAGACCTTGGGCTGGGTACAGTCTGCTGTGACACTGGCACCCTGGGCCCTGGAGTCAATTGCAAAGAGAGCTTTAGATTTCAAGCAGTTCTGAACACCTGTGAAATTGTGGGAGCCACCTTTCTAGGGATGCTACAGTTCTGAGGTCCTGACCTAAAAGTAACTGCCAAGGTAACTCACAAATGGGCAATTTGTTAAGAAACCAGCACACAGAACAGAGACCTGGTAGCTATGGTGCTGGGGAGCACTGGGGCATTACAGGCTTTCAGAGCATATCCTAGACCAAATGTGAGACTTCTGTTGCTATGTGCATACTTGTAGGCTAGGGGAATTTGGCACGTATTTCAAGTAAAGCAATGAGGGCTGGAGCAAAAAGAACAATAGAGTTATTCAAAGAAAAGCAGTGCAGTCCCATAGTGCTGGAAGTTTCTAATCTACCCCCACAGAGAGTCTGGTTTACCTGGGATCATCTGTCCCCACCCCTTCTAGACACATGGGGCACTGGCATACGTGGGCTATAAACCCCCCTCTCCTCATGCAAAGGTCACTTTAAATGTTTCCTCTTCTAGCTGAAATGTAATCTCTTTGGTTGGTGTAAAATGCAACCTGGAGGCCAGTGCTGCAAGGGGAAGAAGCATTAAAACTAGACCTGCCTGGCTTCCCTTCTGTAACGCTGCCACGGTAGGTAGCTTGTCAGCTGGGGAGCCAAAATAGCATTGGTGGGGGGAGGTAAGCTTGGAGTGGGACAGGAAGCGCCATCTCTGCCTGAAGGCAGCACGGCCAGTTCCTGACCCATGTTGCCCAAGCACCCTCTTTATCAATTCATTTAGATGCTATTGATCTCCCCTATCACTCATTCTGCTAACCTGTATTTTGCAGCCACATCATGCACAGTTGGGTAACAGAGATGAAAACATGTAATAATGATAGAGGATGTCTTTGTTAACAGGGCCCTCAAGATTAATCATGGGCTTAGTATTGTGTAAATCATAGTTTAAAAAAAAAAAAAAGCCTCGCTCTGCCAGGAGCCAGCACCTGCTGTTGGAGGGACAGAAAGGCTAGAAGTCAAGGCTTTGCCCTGGATCAGCCATCACGGGGTGTTGTGAACTCGATGTCATTAAGATCCCTGTTTCCCCGCCAAATGCTTTATCTCAATGCCTGTCGGGAGTGTGGAGTGCAAGTATACCTTAAGAACAGGACAGTCTCCACTGGCAGGACCCGCAAGGCCCACATGTGAGGGAAGTGCAGCCTGAGACTCCTGTTACAGCGTCTTATTGACCATAGTCAAAGCTCCCTGTCCAGCAGCCCTCTACCTGCTGGAGTGTTACCGAGCAAGGTTTCACCTTGTCACTTCACCAAGACAAGCAGTTTCCTTGCATAACTGCATCAAAAGTGCAGATGAAAACGGTGGTGCTTTGCATGTCGCCTCCCTCGTTTTGAGCTCCATCCTGAAAAGGTGCATGTTAACTTGTCCTTAATAATAATCCTCCGTAGCTCCTAACTAACAGCACTGTCTATACGTACAAACACTGACTGCCCACCTGGAGGTTGGGGAGGAATCCTTAGCCTCTGTTTACAGATGGGGAAGCGGAAAGGTCACGTGTCCAGCCCACAGCTACAGAGGGGCAGGACCAGGATTCACATGCACATTCTTGGCACCTGGTCCTGCGCTAAATTCACAAGAATATGCTGCCTTTTCCCTTAACTCACTGCACTGCAGGTTCCTACTACTACTCCACATGTGCCTGTTACCATCATAGTCCAGCTCAACCCTAGCTTGGTGGCCCAGATCAATAACGTAAAGGAGTGTAAATGGGTTCCTCAGAACTTCTCTCCTGCTGCTGCTGGAGTCTCCTGCTTGTGCAGAAGGTTTAGAATGTGGATTTCCCACACTGAGGGTTGCTGCCATTGGGAAAGGGCTAGTACTATCAGTCTTGTCTCTGTGGCAGGTATCATTGGAGGAGAAGAGAATATGCCCCCTTTGTGTACACATCTTTAAAGGTGTGGAAAATCCCTATGCCTGGGGCATGGGCCTCAGGCTGGCTAGAGTAGTAAGAAGAGGACTAAAATAATAGCAAAAGGGGAGACTAGAATGAGGGAAGATCTGAGCACTCAGCACAAAATCAAGATGTTGAAACAAAATTAATCAAGGAACCAAAGAACATGAAGAGAAGAAATTATCTAATTGCCTATACACCAATGCTAGGAGCCTGGGTAACAAACAAGAGGAACCGGAATTGCTCATTTATGAGCATAAACTTAGTCTAGTTAGTATTACTGAAACCTGGTGGGTTGGTTCACCCAACTGGAATGTTACAATCAATGGGAAGGGGGAGGGGCATTCTTTGTCCAAAATGGCATTAGCTGTTTGCGAGTCACTGATAACTCGGAAGAAGACAGATAAAGCACAAGCGGGGTACTAGTTGGTGTCTGCTACAGACCACCAAAGCCCACTAGGGAATAGGATGACCACTTCCTTATGCACCTAATTACAATGTGTACAAATAAAAGCTGTGTGATCATGGGGGACTTCAGTTTGAGTGACATATGGTGGAGGTCTTGTGCTGCCAGTATAGAAACATCCTTAGAATTTCTAAGCATTCTAGATGACCGTTCCCTAACTCAGAACATATTGCAGCCTACACAGGGGATGCTGTACAAGACCTTGTTCTAACAGAGAGAGGAATGGATCACAGAACAAAAAATTAATGGTAGCTTAAGTACAGGTGATCATGGCTTGATCACATTTATAATGTGCAAGCAGAATAAAGTCCAGACCATAATATAGATGATTGGTGCATTTAATAGGGCCAATTTCACAAAGCTGAAAACAATTATGAGCCAGATCAGTTGGGAGGAAGAATTGAATCAGAAAAATGTGAATGATGATTAGGAATCATTTAAGAACATCTTACTAGAGCCCCAAAATGCCAGTGTCCCACAATCAAGGAAGAAGGCCAATTTTAGAGGGGAAGTGAAGGTAGCTGTAAATATATAAAAACGCAAACTGGCATCCTCTGTACACAAGGGATCACCACAAGGCCATCTGCTGATGGGCTCACAGCCCACAGTCGGGAACCTCTGCAGGAAATAATACATTAAAATGGGGTTGTGCCTGCATAGAGTTTGGGAACCCCTGAGGCAACCAGTGGAAGGAAGGGGAAGCTGATAGTAATGAATGTTGGCTTCTCAAGGGTGGGAGGATAGGGAGACTGCACTAGAGATATTCTTGCCTAGCTGCCCTACGGTGTGACTCTGCCTCACTTTTCACCTGGCTCACAGGCTTTTGGGGCTATCCTAAAATCTCATTTAAAAGCATAAAACACAGCCCCAGTCTAGAGGCAAAACAAAACCTTTGTTTCCTTTGTTTGATGAGTCCAGGTTCAAGTTAATCTAATATAACTGCAAGCGCAGGAGTGTGGTGTGAGAACCTGGTTCGATGATAGTGCTTCCTCCCCTGAAGTGCTAGGAATCAATCCCGAATGAGGCTGTATTTTCAGCTGCAAACAGTTACCTCCCTGGTCATGGGGACCGGCTCAAATGCATTTGGCATCTGTTGTGTGCAGTTGTCTCGTCAGACACAGTCCGTGGCTGCTCTGTCCATTACTGTGTTGCAGGAGAGACCCCCTGGCCACCCCTTCGTTACCATTGAGTTGTGGCATCCCTAGACAGGACACAGAACAACTCTGAGCTCATTGTGCTCACCCTTATGCCAGAGCTCTCCACCTGCGTTAGGCCTTCATGTAATGGCCTTATAGCAAAGCCCTTCTTGGGGGGTCAGTGTTCACAGAGCTCCCTACTTGGGTGTGGAGTACTGTAGAATTGGGTTGGGGAGGAAGGCACTAAGATTAGTGCTGCTTTTGCCCTCTTTGTAGGGCCCTCACCACTTTGCATTCGTTCCAGCTGTTCCAGGCAGAATAAGAATGTAGCCCTGTACAAGTCTCCAGTGTGCTGTAATAAATACACTATTGCTGATCATAGGGAGCTGCCTCTGCAGGGGTTTCCTTTCTGCCTTGGTCCCAATGCATGCTGATAAGATCACAGATTTGGCCAGTGTGTCCTAGCAGGCAGCACCTTCCTAGGTGAAGTTCTTAGAACTGCCATGTGGCTTGGAGGAAGCTGGTTTTAGGGATACCATCTGGGGAACGACCAGGTTCCTCTTGCAAACAGACTTTCAGACAGGTTCAGGAAAAGAGTACAGAGGCTTTCTCTGCACTGAGACAGACCATGGCTGAGTCTGTGGGGCTGTACCACTGTAGGTGCCAATACCAATGGAAGATGCTAACTGAGCACCACAGACTTCCCCAAGAGAAGGGTTTTGTTTAATCGCTGGATTTTTGTTTGTTTTTATTGAACTGTACAGTGCAGCTGGTGCCCAGTGTCAGTTCCTTTAATGTCAAGGGAGGGAGAGGGGAGGAGGTGGAGGCCAGTGCCAATCCCTTGCTGCCCAGGGAGTGGGAAGGAGGTGGTTCCCAGTACTAGATCCCTTGATGCCCAGGGCAGGGGAAAATGAGAGCACGTGGTGCCCAATACTGGATCTTTTGCTGCGCCATGCAGGACAGGAGGGATTGCTGTTAGTGCCTGATGTTGGATCCCTTGCTGCCTGGATTTCCCCTGCCTGGAGGGGAACCTGTTTTAGAATGAAGGTATTTCCCCCTGCTGCAGGCATTGCCAGAGATGTGATCTTGTCAGGGTGGGTTGGAGTTAGGGCTGCTGAGGTGGCAGAGCATATCAGAGACTTGACTGTGCCCCTGGGAGTGAGCCTTACTGCCCATGCACTCCCCACCAGTCCATGCACTGAGCAGACAAATACTTCTTGACCACTAAGAGTGTGCCAGGCTGTGCTGCAGCCAGTGAGGAGCTGCTTGCTGTTGGGTCACAGCTCCTGGGGAGGGTGGGACGGGAGAGAGCTGTCCTGGTATCTGTGACTACCCCCTAAGCTAACCAGCCAGTTCTTCTTTCCAAAACAGATGGCAGCTCAGAGGCAGCGGGCGCTGGCCATCATGTGTCGTGTGTACGTGGGCTCCATATACTACGAACTGGGAGAGGACACCATCCGCCAGGCCTTTGCCCCATTTGGACCTATCAAAAGCATTGACATGTCCTGGGACTCTGTTACAATGAAACACAAGGTTGGTTAACAGCCCCTAGGAGTGGTTTCCTTTTCTCTAAGGTCACCCTGCATGCATCCGGGGAAGGAGGAGCCTTTACCCTCCTAGTCTGCAGTATACAGCAAGCTGTCTTAGTAGGTGGTTCTCCAAGTGCTGGTCCCTGTTGTATTCCACGGAGGGTTCTGGGCAGGCGCCCGGAGCCGGAGCTTTTAGGATTGAATGTAATAGCCTCCTGCGCTGCCACCAGAAGCCATAGCAGTGACCTAGCAGCTGCATGTGGGACCATTGTAGGGATGTGGGGCATGGAGCTTGGGGAATGCTGAGCAGTTAGCCTGCCTTGTGTGCATGCACTGGTCTTTCTTGCTAAAAGGCCTGATTTATGTATAAGCAGCTCAGGAAGCGAGTGGCTGCAAGTCTGTTCAGGCGCTTTCATGCTTCAGCTTGTTGCTCTCTGGATGAGCATGCTGTTGGGAAAGGCTTTGAGGATGGGATTCTCTGGCTGAACAGTTGGGATCTGGCAGAGTGTGATACAGACAGGCTGCATTAGTTGGCAGAGTGGGGAATGCGAGCACTAGGGGGTGCAGCAAGAAAAGATTGGTACAATTTAATAGGGTTTCTCCTCTATCCTAGGGCTTTGCTTTTGTGGAATACGAGGTGCCTGAAGCTGCTCAGTTGGCCTTGGAGCAGATGAACTCAGTCATGCTGGGTGGGAGAAACATAAAGGTGAGTGACAGCAGGTTGTGTCACGTGGGAGGCGAGTCTGGCTCATGCTGCTGTTTGTGTTACAGGGATGGGGCTTTTCCGATGGTCAGAGGAGCCTGAAGAAGAAAATCTGTGTTCCTAGGAGATCTGTTCCTCAGTGGGCCTCTTTTCAATGCACCACCTGAGGCCACTCACTGAGAACTGGCTGGTTCTTGGCACCTGCCTCTGACCCTTGGGAAGAGCCCATAAAGTGTTAATCTACACTAGGAGGAGGGAGGGGTGTTGGACTCTGGTCTGTTCCTCCCCATGCACAGAAGGGGAGCCCTTTGTGGCCTAGATATGGAGTCTGGTGGGCAGCAGCCAGGTCCTGAGGAGAGGGCAGGTGAGTGACTGCTGACCCTGGTTGTGCCTTTTGGGCTCTGCAGAAAGGGGGCTTGTTTGTATGTGTCTTAGGAGGGAAATGAGGCTCTGGGATAACCTAGTCCTCTGCGTGAAGGGGGGGAGGGGTTAGTAAAAACTGAAAGGAACAAGGGATTGAGCTATGTATTCCCAGGCATCAAGTAAGAGATTCCCTGACAGGTGTGGGAGACTTTGGGGGGCGTCCGTTTGTGGTGTCTCTGAAAACCCAGTGTCCTTACGTCTGTCACCAAAATCATTTCCTGTTAAGTCCCTCTTCAGGCAGTTGCAGCGCCTGATCGATTACAGGTTTTTGGGAACTCCGGAGAATGGTATGGAGGCATTGTGCCCTGCCTGTAGCATTGACAGCTAGTCAATTGTAGCATTGGAAGCTAGTCACTAGTAAGGGAGGGAAGCTACACGTCTGAAATATGCTTGCTCAGTAACAAGTGCAACAAAAAACATCCTGTATCCGGGCTGTCTCAGTAACCCTGATATCCCATGGTGGCCTGCGGAGTCACCGGAGACTACAACCCAGACATAATTAATTGCGACTCTGTGGTGCTGATTGCCGTGCCATGGAAAGTATTATGTGGGGTTCAACTGCTCTTCCTTAGCATTTACAGTCCTTGTGTCTAGGGTGAGTCACGGTGCTGCCTCCTGGAGAACTCAAAGAGGTGTTTGTGTTTGCTTTGCTCTCCACAGGTTGGTAGGCCTAGTAATATTGGACAGGCACAGCCAATCATAGACCAGCTAGCAGAGGAGGCACGGGCTTTCAATCGCATCTACGTGGCATCTGTTCACCAGGACCTCTCAGATGACGACATTAAGAGTGTGTTTGAGGCCTTTGGGAAGATTAAGTCCTGCACGCTCGCCAGGGACCCTACAACAGGGAAACACAAAGGCTATGGCTTCATTGGTAAATTGGCTGCTCTGATCCCGGTCATGGAGTGGGGTGGGAATATCATTGGATTTGGATCTATCATTGGATGTCTGCTCCCTCCAGTGGCAATAAGCTTCTGCTTTCAGTTATGGGTTAGAGTGGTAGTGAGAGCAGCCCATGGCCTGATGTCAGAGGGCTGCCTGGCGCTCAGTTGGAAACTGGATTCTGTGTTTTTGTTCAGCTAGCTCCTACGGTGTGACGAGAACCATCTCCCTTTACACTGAATGTTTGAGAAGATCCTGGATAATCAGAGGGATTGGGTGTGTGATCTAAGAAGTGTGGGAGTGATTGGTAGGGACACTGATGGCTGCCACTCCAGACCATTGTGTTCTTAGAAGTACAAACCTAAGTTGTGCAGGGAAAGGGGTCTAAGTTTAGGAGGCAGGCAATGGGGCATTTTCCCTGGGAGTCTGAAATATCCATCTTTAAGGAGCACTCTGTCAGGGTTCCAATTATCATTGCAGAGTATGAGAAGGCACAGTCATCACAAGATGCTGTCTCATCTATGAACCTCTTTGACCTGGGTGGCCAATATCTCCGGGTTGGCAAAGCTGTCACTCCCCCAATGCCTCTCCTAACGCCTGCAACGCCTGGAGGATTACCCCCTGCAGCAGCTGTGGCTGCAGCAGCTGCCACAGCAAAGATAACCGCTCAGGTAAGAAACGGAGCAGCAGGACTTGAAGCGAGGTGGGTGAGTGCGTGCGTTAGAGTCCAGCAGTCCTGTTGAACACGGGGATACAGATTGCCCAGTGCACTGAGTCAGCAGCACTTATGGGAGCTCCTGACTAGGTGGCCTTTGTTGTACCCTACAGAGTAGTTCTCCCGGCCTCGTGTGGAGACTAGCCTGGGAGTAGCTGTCTGTGCTACACCCTCCAGGCTTGGCCTGCCAAGGTGTAGAAACAGGCCTGATTTACACCACAGTGTCACGGACTCACAGATCGTGCCCACTCTTGGCCCCGTGCAGTCTGTGGGGGGGTACCCCTTTCAGTGAGACAGCCCTTCTTGGGGGTCCACTCTCTCTCGGGGTCAGGCCCCTCCACCTCCTGGAGCCGCAACTCTCTGAGCCTTAGCACGTCTGTCTATGCCATGGGCCCCCTCAGGGAGTCCACTCGCTCTGGAGTGACTCTCAGCCAGCATAAAACAGGAGGATTTGTTGGGAGTTGAACACTGCACAGGAAACTCTCAGGGCCTCAGGCCTGGCCTCCCTCAGCCCAGCACATCCCAGTCTCCCTGCATCCAGGTGGGCTCTGCCTGCTCCCCCTCTCCAGCCCAGAGCCCCCCTGCCCCCAGCTGGGCATCTGAGATCCCCAGGCCCACGCCCCGCCTCTGTCCATTGTGTTCTCTCCAGGTAAACAGGGTCGTAAACCGGGGCCTCCTCTCCTCGCTTCTGTCCTCTGGCTGGAACCGGCTGGTTAGGTCACTGGCTCCTCACTCTGCAGCCATTGTCCTCCCACTGGCCAGAACCGGCTGCGTCTCCTCAGCTGGGTCTCCAGGTCCGGTCGCTGGGGTATCCATCCTCCAGGCCATTGGCTGGGGTCCCACGTTCCCTCTCCGGTCCTCTGTAACAACAAACTCCCTCTCCCCTCACCTTATTAAACCAGTAACACCCAGGGAAACTGAATCCCACCCCCTCCGCATGCAAACCATTGAAACCCCACCGAAACCAAGAAAACAAACAAGAAAACCCCCCACTTCGTCACACACAGACAGGCTTATTTGTTTTGATTTAGTGTGATTGTTCTGAAACAGTATTGCCTAATTAGGGCCACCTTAGAAGAGCAAGAGGTGGCTAGGATGTGGGGAAGCTTTTTGCTCTGGAATTGACTCCATCCCGCTAAAACCATCCTGGAGACTTTGGGTTGGGGATCCCTTGGCATGTCTGTCATTCAGGGCCCTACACATGAGCCGATGGGCGTTGGGTGATAACTGTGAAGTGTGGGGGAGTGCCTGCTCTTCAGGGGGTTGGTATGTGGCGGCTGTCTACAGGAAAGGCGAGTTCAGGGCAATCCTCGGCATGTGTCGGTGCGATTAAGCGGAGTTGCATACATTTCGCCGCTCTGGCCAGTGGCTGAGCTGGGCCTCGTAGTTTTACAGGTCATTTGCCCCCATACCCTGGCGATTTGGTAAGTGTACAAAGGTAAAAAGAAAAAACCTGAGCAGAGCACACCCTGAGCATGACTCTCTGAAGCAGAATTAACACTCTGGCTTTTCTCTTGTAGGAAGCAGTGGCAGGAGCTGCAGTCCTTGGCACTTTAGCAACACCTGGGCTGGTGTCACCAGCGCTGACACTGGCTCAGCCTCTGGGGGCATTGCCGCAGGCCGTAATGGCAGCCCAGGCACCAGGAGTCATTACGGGTGCGTCTGCTCTTCATTCTGTCATTTCCACAACTAGTCCTAGATAGCACCAGTCCCCACAGCTGGGATCACTTCTTGGAAAGTGGAGTCAGGGAGCCTGGGGCCAGCTACCCCTTTTGGTTATCAGACCCATGTGATTCCTGTAAAGAGCTGAGACAACTCAGTTGAAGAGAAGAGCTGTGGGAAGCAGGTGGGCTCGGTGGCTGACCCTGCAGCAGTGGGGAGAGATGCAAGGGAAAAGGTTTCAGGTTCCTTGCAGCTGCTTTGATCAGGGGCATAACTGTGTTACTTGTTGAGTTTTATACGTGGAAAAATGAAACCGTCCCTGAAGGAGGGGCACAAGCAGACTTTTGGGTGTGGCCTCAGTCCTTCCTGCGCTGGAAAGACAGGCCACCAGCCCCACTAAAGGGTTTGAAACTGAATCGTACTGAAACTGAATTGTTTGCAGAGAATTCTGATTTCTCCTTGCATTGCCTCGCAGGCCTCTCCACCAGTGTGTGGTGAGTGCGGTAAGGGCACGAAGCCTCCCAGAGCTGGCAGGGTTGCACGGTGCCCTGAGCAAAACCACCACAATGGTCACTTACCACATGCAAAACAGATGCAGCCCCATCTCGCTGTCTCCCCTTTGGATGGGCAGATTCCCCACGTGTGCGCATCATACCTGGTGGTAGAGCCTGCCCTATCTACTGTACTGAGTCGCTGTTTGCCCTGGTTGTCAGGCTCTCTGTGGTTCGTGTTGCAGTTACTAAAACCTTTCTCCTAATTCCATAAGGCTGGGTGTCACTGGCTGGCTTTCTTCCTGATGTGGCAGAGTGCCAATCCTAGAGGGAGGCTGCATTTACCTCCTCCTTCAATCTGTGTATTCACCTGCAGGTGTGACCCCCGCTCGACCGCCCATTCCAGTCACTATTCCACAGGTGGGAGTTGTGAACCCTATCCTAGCAAGTCCCCCAACACTAGCTCTGTTGGAAGTTAAGAAGGAGAAGGAGGAGGAGGAGATCTTCCAGGAATCGGAGAGGCCTGAAATGCTGAGTGAACAGGAGCATATGAGCATATCCGGCAGCAGTGCCCGTCACATGGTGATGCAGAAACTGCTTCGCAAACAGGAGGTGAGCATGACCCTGAGTTAATTCTAGATTCCCAGAGATACAGTGTAGCCTACAGGCCGCAAGTCTGGCTTGGGTCTGTCTTTTAGCTCTGTACAGCTCAGCAGTACAATGCATGGTACAAGACCAGTCATCACCTGCTGCAGGCTATGGGCATGGCTTTTCCCTCTCTGCCTTGTAAAGGAGGAACTCTGTAGTGAGGTGCCTTGCTCAGAGAGAGCTCACTCTTTGCTGTGCTGTCCAGCCATTAGACCAAAGATGCTGATGGTCTATTACAGGGGTCGGCAACGTTTGGCACGTGGCTCGCCAGGGTAAGCACCCTAGCGGGCCGGGCCAGTTTATTTACCTGCTGAGGCGGCAGGTTTGGCCGATCGCGGCCCCCACTGGCCGCGGTTCGCCGTCCCGGGCCAATGGGGGCGGCGGGAAGCAGCGCGGGCGAGGGATGTGCTTGCCGCCACCCCCATTGGCCCGGGACGGCGAACCGCAGCCAGTGGGGGCCGCAATTGGCCGAACCTGCCGCCTCAGCAGGTAAATAAACTGGCCGGGCCCACTAGGGTGCTTACCCTGGCGAGCCGTGTGCCAAAGGTTGCCGACCCCTGGTCTATTAGGACATTATAGTCACTGATGTCCTGGCCCCCGGATTTCGCCGCCTTCTCAGTCATTCACGTCGTCATGGTTTGTCATTGGCCATGACTGATGAAGTGGGAGGAAATAAAACTGGATCTGTGGTGTTAAGGAATCTGTCATTTCATGATCGTCTGCAGCATGGCTATTCCTGGCTGTTTTCCTGCAGCCAGAAGCATGCTGGATATCTCTGTGTCGATACAGAGAGGGCTCACAACTCCATGTCTGGGTGTGAACCATAGTATCTCCTCACCAAATAGAGATGTGATCCTTGTCCGATCCTTCTGAGTCTCCCTCATTCCCACCAGTCAATGCAGTACTAAGCACTGTGGAGCTTACAGCTAATTTCAGACCTGCTGCAAGGGTGAGGATGACAAGACCGGGCTGATTCGTACAGGAAGCACAGGTGACATCATGAGATGATGCGGCTGCTCAGCAGAGTCACAATGGTCCAATCTGACCTGCAGAACACAAGCCAGAGACTCCCATCCAGTGATTCTCAGATACCTTAGTGATGGCACAGAAGTCAGGAGTTCCAGTCTCAGATAGGACACTGACTCCTTCTGGGGTTGGACAAGGCCCTTCCCCTCTCTTTTCTACCAAATAGGGATAATATTGACCTGCACCTCTTGAGGGACACTGAGAATTAGCTCATGTGTCCTGTACTTTGAAAATATAAAGGCCCAACAGTGGTATTGTTGAGACAGTGGCTGTCCCCAGTTAAGGTTGAAGCTAACTATCCATAAGAACCCGATCTACACGACCCACACCTTAATTTCCCCAAGAACTGTTGCATCATATCTCAAGGGGGAAGTTTAGATAAATCAGAAAATGCATTTTAAAGCTACACCAAAAGTTTTCCTAACTCCTTTTTCCAAAACGGCTTGACCTGCAAATTCCGAGTTTGTTGTGTTGGCCTGAGCGGGGAGAGGCTTTGAGAAGGTATTTCTAGTAGGGATAAGGAGGTGCTGGTTCCATTATACAAGGCGCTGGTGAGACCTCATTTGGAGTACTGTGTGCAGTTCTGGTCTCCCATGTTTAAAAAGGGTGAAATCAAACTGGAACGGGTACAGAGGAGGGCCACTAGGATGATCCGAGGAGTATGAAAGGAGACTCAAGGAGCTTGGTTTGTTTACCTTAACCAAAAGAAGGCTGAGGGGGGATATGATTGCTCTCTTTAAATATATCCGAGGGATAAATACCAGGGAAGGAGAGGAATTATTTCAGCTCAGTACTAATGTGGACATGAGAACAAATGGATATAAACTGGCCGTCGGGAAGTTTAGGCTTGAAATTAGACGAAGGTTTCTAACCATCAGAGGGGTGAAGTTTTGGAACAGCCTTCCGAGGGAAACAGTGGGGGTGAAAGACCTCTCTGGCTTTAAGATTAAGCTTGATAAGTTTATGGAGGGGATGGTTTGATGGGATAAAGTGATTTTAGTCAATAGATCAATAACGTGACATCGCTGGTAATTAGCAACAATGGTCAATGATGGGATATTAAAAGTTACTACAGAGAACTTTTTCCAGAGGGTCTGGCTAGAGAATCTTGCCTGCATGCTCGGGGTTCAGCTGATCGCCATATTTGGGGTCGGGAAGGAATTTTCCTCCCGGGGAGAGGCCCTGGAGGTTTTTCGCCTTCCTCTGCAGCATGGGGCAGGGGTCGCTTGCTGGAAGATTCTCAGCGATTTGAAGTCTTTAAATCATGATTTAGGGACTTCAGCAGCTGAGTCAAGGGAGAGAATTCTTCCGGGAGTGGGTGGGTCAGCTTTTGTGGCCCGCATCATGCGGGAGGTCAGACTAGATGATCATAATGGTCCCTTCTGACCTTAGAGTCTCTGAGGTGTGAATTACAAAGAGATAAGAGCTGGTTTCACGTGCATACAGAGCAATTTTAAAAATTATTTAATCTCACCTGCTGTTGACTGTGGGCTGTGCTGCCGGTCTGAGACAGAGACATGGGGGGATGGAGAGGGACAGGCATCCGGTGGGCCACAGGCAATAATAGTATGGTGATGGGCTTCCTGTTGCAGAAGGGTGTGGTAGGGCAGGAGGATGGAATGGGGTAAAGGCTTGGGAGAATTCTGGAGCATGATCCACACTGGTGGGTTGGGGTGTGGGTATCCCCTGTAAGGTACTTGTTCTGGGAATGATCAGAAACCTTCAGTCTCTAGGCCTGTGAGGCCAACTACACACCAGCCACTAAGTTCCAAGGTAAAACTAACACGAAGAATAATTGCCACCAAAATGTGTCATGCTGTTGAAGGTAAAAGGAGGGAAATCAGTTTGATAAATCCATTTCTGTAAGGTTTAAACACAGTCTTAAAAATAGTCTCTCTCCAGCCACATCTTCAGGACACAAAACAAGTGGCAAATTCCTGGTACGCTGCTGGCCTAAGCAGTTGAGCTGAAGATGCCTGTGGAAGAGTCATAATTTCTGGGCTATACTGACCATGGGTTGAGCGTACTTCTGGTGCCCCTGGGCAGGGCCATTACAGATTGGTTCCAGAAAGCCCTGGGATGTTAGTTTTTGCTGCTCAGGCCTGGCACTGAAATGGCTGCTGTGATGTGCAGGTGCCATGGCTTTGCAGGGTTAACCCCAGCGGTCCCATGAACCTGCTCAGTCACCACTCTTTTTTTCTTCCTCTTCCTGTAGTCGACTGTGATGGTGCTGCGCAACATGGTGGATCCAAAGGACATTGATGACGATCTGGAGGGAGAAGTGACAGAAGAGTGCGGCAAGTTTGGGGCAGTGAACAGGGTCATCATCTACCAAGAGAAGCAGGGCGAGGAGGAGGACGCTGAGATCATCGTCAAGATCTTTGTAGAGTTCTCTATGGCCTCGGAGACTCACAAAGCCATTCAGGCCCTGAACGGGCGCTGGTTTGCTGGCAGGAAGGTGGTGGCAGAGGTGTATGACCAGGAGAGATTTGATAACAGTGACCTGTCAGCATGAACTCTGCCTGAGAGAGACTTCTCCCCTGCCCCCTGTGTCCCATCTGTTTTTTTAGCCATGTGTAAGGAATGCTCCTGGGTGAGCACAGCTCTCTACTGTGATGTACATGTAGTTTGGATAAAAGTGCGAAGAAAAGCCAGCGTGCGTGAGTGTGTGTTAAAAGGGCCAGCACCACCTTGGTTGGGTCTGGAATGGGCCCAGTCTCCTCAGCCAACAGCTTGTCAGGCCTTCGAGAGTAAGGGCCAGAGGTCAGAAATGCCTGAGTCAGAATTCCAGGTCACCCTCTGGGGCCAGGAGCTGCAGTTTTCTTTAGAGGTGGGCAACTACTTGTTTGAATGGAGCAGGCACCATCTTTTTAATAAGTGTTTGCACCGTACGTTGGTCCCTGGTTGGAGCCCTCAGGCACTATTGCAATGCTACCAGGAATGGGCAGTGGCTTGGGTAACGCTAGGAGCTCCTTCTAGAGCAGGCTAAGCAGCTGCAGGTTGAGCTCAGGCTCCAAGCCCTTGATGTGGGGTAAGTGCCACCACATCGGCTGCTTGCTTGCTGCAGATGCTCAGGTCATCGCCTCCGTCTCCAGAGCATGCGCTCAGGCGCAGTGAGATCCACAGCTGCAGCTGTCCACGTGAACAATGGCGGGGCGACCGTCTCACCTGGGAACTTGCTTGCATTTTACGCAGGCCTCGTGAGTTCAGGTTAATGGAAATATCAAGCTTGTGAAGCCAGGCCAGAGCCCAGAAACAAGTCAGTTGGGATTTGAATGTACAGTCCTGTTACTTGTGATCCGGTGGGGTTCAGGGCAGGCTGATCTGTAGGCTGCGCTAATACTACGGCGATGGAGATCATACAGCTGCATGGTGACAAAGGTGCCTACGCATGCTGCTCCCAAAGGTAAGAGGGGTATGAGAAGCAGGACATGTTGGAAACTTCACAGCTGGCTTGAGAGGAGTGACTACGGCCTGGGTTCTCACCGGTGCAGTGTTGGTACAACTGCCTTGTGCACGCAGCCTCCAATGTACATGTGGTAAATTGGACCTTAGAAATCTGTCCCTGTGGTGCTCTCTCTTTCAGTTTCTTTCTGTCCATAGGCACTATATTGAGGCACCCATTCCTTACGTGAAAGGACAGCCACTGAGCGTATCCTGTACAGAGGGCAGAATCTGAAAGCCACTGCATATGTGTCCTCTAGAGTTGGCCTCTGTCTAACTAGTGTGTGAGGCAGGGAGTTAATCGCTCTTCCCTCTAAGGATTGAAGGTTCATAGATTCTAAGGTCAGATATAACCAGGCTGCCCTGTGTATAATGCAGCCACAGCTCCTGAGGTAAGCTAGACAGATATTTGAGGAAGATAGAGATTTTCACATCCTAAGTGAGTTGTTCCAGTGCTTAATTATCCTGACTGCTAAAAATTGGCATCTTATTTCCAGTTTCAATTTGTTTAGCTTCTACATCCGACCATTAGATTTGTTCTTCCTCCAGCTGCTGGATTCAGGAACTCAAAAGAGTGTTTCAGAGGGTTTTCTTATGGTCTCTTGGAACTATCAGGGGTAAAGCAGGTATGAATTAGGAATGGCTGCCTAATTAATACCAATCAACACAGTTTATGGAAAACAGGTCTTGTCAGATCAACTAGATAATGTTTTTTATAAGATTACAAGTTTGGTTCACATAATAGACATCTGTACAGCATGTGACTTAATTCTGATTAAAAAATAACACTACTAAATCAGTGCAGCACATGATGGATAGTAACACATTACATGGATCAAAAAGTTGCTAACTGGATCTCAAAAAGTAATTGTAAATGAGTGTGTTTCTAGTGACATCCTTGAGGGATCTGTCTGGCCCAGTGCTGTTTAATACGTCTTTCAGTGGTCTGGAAGAAAACATAAAAATCATTGCTGGTAATGTTTGCAGATGACACAAAAATTAGAGTGGTAAATCAGCAGGCCTAAGAGTCCTGAAAGAGTTGGCTGAGGAGATCTTTGACCTGCTAAAGTTAATTTTAAATAAATCGTGGAACACTGGAGAAATTCCAAAAGACTGGAAGAGTGCTAACGTTGTGTGGTTTGTGGTGCGGGAGGATCATTTTTAAAAAATCCTGTCCCACTCTCACATTGTTTCTTGAATTTTTATCCTGCTCCCGCTGTTTCGGCAGCGGGTTGTCTGGGACCCACAGGATCCCAGTCCCGGTGCAGGGCTCTAATCTGAAGGCAGCACCGCCGCCACCAGCAGCAGCACAGAAGTAAGGGTGGCAGTGAGGGGTCTCCCTGCCTGTGCCTGTGGATGGTGGAGCGGCGAGGCGTCCCGTCCCCTTTGCATGACGATGCAGGGGCTCTCCAGCCATTTGCGTGGAGGATTAAAGGTGGGGAAGAGGAGACGCAGGGGCTGCTTATCCCCTTGCAAGAGTGCATGAGGACTCTGACGCCTCTGCATGGGTGATTTTGGAGGGTTGGGGGGTTCCCATCCCATTTCACAGGGGTGCAGGGAGTGGGTGGGTGCTGGTGGGGAGACATCTGCTGAGAACAGCACGTCCAGTCATTGCTGGGACAATTTTAGAGCCCTTCAGCGGGACTGGGATCCCGCGGGACCTGCTGCCATAATAGCAGGAGCGGGATAAAAATTTAAGGAACACTGGGGAAGCGGGTGGGAGTGGGTACTGCGGGTCGGGAGCGGGATTAAAAGTCCTCCCACGCCACAAACATGAGCGCCCTGGCCAGCAGCCGCCTCTCTCCAGCCACCCGGCTCTGACTTTCTGCGCTGCTGCTGGTGGCGGCACTGCTTTCAGAGTTGGGCGGCCAGAGAGTGGTGACTGCAGGGCCCTGCCCCTCCATATATAGATATCAGACTGCGCCTATGGAAACTTCTCCACCACGCCAGGATTTTTTCTTGCATACCCCCGGTTCGTGTGCCCCTGGGGTACTCAAAACCAGTTTGAAAACCACTGCATTAAATGGATTAAAAACTGGCTGGTGGATCTCTAAAAGTAGTTGTCAGTGGGGAATCACGGAGCAGATGTGTGTTTAGTGATTGGTTCTAGCCCAACGCTATTCAAAATTTTTAGCAATCATCCAGAAGTAAATATTCGCAGATGACCTAAAGCTTGGGGAGTGGTAAATAACGGAGGGGACAGGTCACTGGTACAGCGTGAGCTGGACTGTTTGGTAAACGGGTGCACGCAAACGATGTGCATTTTAATATGGCTAACTGTAAATGTGCACATCTAGGAACGAAGAGTGTCTGCCCTAATTACAGGCTGGGCGACTCCAGCCTGGGACGCAGCGACTCTGAAAAGGACTCGGGGGTGATGGTGGATAATCAGCTGAACATGAGCTCTCAGTGGGATGCTGTGGCCAAAGGGGCTAATGCGATCCTTGAATCCATAAAGGGAGTCAGAGTGAGACAAGGTGGGTGATTAGATTAGGGTTAGTAGATTACTAATGGTTGTAATGAGCCATAAACCAGTGTCTGACCCATGATTTTTAGTGTCTAGGAGAACTATGAATTTAAGTTCCCAGGTTCGTCTCTTGAAGGGGTACAGGTTTCCTTTGAGAAAGGGGACTGATTGGTCAGATATCGCATTTGCACTGGATGAGGCACATCACATGTTGTGATAGGCTGTGTAGGACCTGTGGATTATGGAAGGTGTGTTGTGGGGAGTATTGATCATCATAGCAGTGGAGATATATCTGCAGATTTTGCATCTGTTCTGGCAGGGTCTGGTGCCACTTAGAATTGGTGTGTACTGGTCTATGGGAAGCTTGCTTCTGATGGTGAGCTTGGCCAGGTTGCAAACATATCCCCACAGCCACAGTGATCAAAAACCCCAACACGCCATTCAAGATCCATGGATCCTAGACATTCTTACCATGATGTGGTGTACCTCTACACCTCTACCCAGATATAATGCGACCTGATATAACATGGGTTTGCATATAGTGCGGTAACCCCAGGGCTCCGGCAGCGGGGCTTGGGCAGCACTTTAAAGGGCCCAGGGCTCCAGCTGTTGCAGGGAGCCCCAGGCCCTATAAATCACCGCTGGAGCCCTGCCGCTGCTACCCCAGAGCTGCAGCAGCGGGGCTCGGGTGGCGATTTAAAGGGCCCAGGCTCCCCGCAGCGGCTGGAGCCCGGTGCTCTTTAAATCACTGCTGGAGCCCTGCCACCGCTACCCCGATATAACAGGGTTTCACCGATAATGTGGCAGGGATTTTTGGCTCCCGAGGACCGCGTTATATCGGGGTAGAGGTGTATGTGGCTAAAATCAGATAATCACTACAGTCTTGATGAACTCACACAGAAAAGTAAGACACAAACAACCCATCACCCATGGGCGAACACCTTTCACAAATGGGTCACTCCATATCCTGACTTGCCAGTCCTCATCCTCAACGTTAACCCATGCAACACCTTCAAAAGATGAGCCTGGGAACTTAAATTCATAACGCTGCTAAACAGTAAAAATCATGTGCTCAACAGAGACACTGGTTTTATGGCCCATTACAACAATTTGTAATCTACTAACCCTCCTTTGTACAGTGACTTCAGATCTGTTAATTGCCCACTTCATTTCAAGTGGTTTTCTTAACAATCTGTCCCACCTTATATGTAGCTGTGACACTCTGGTAACTTGTTCCAGATATGAAGAGGAGCTCTGTGTAGCTCGAAAGCTTGTCACTTCCACCAAATGAAATTGGTCTCTGTCTCTCATATCCTGAGACCATATCCAACAACACTGCAATAAGCAGGAGCAGAGAGGTTATTTAACCTCTGTACTTGGCACCGGTGCGACAGCTGTCCACTTCTGGTGTCCACAGTTCACAAAAGATGTTGATAAATTAGAGAGGGTTCATAGAAGAGCCAAAAGAATGATTAAAGGATTAGTAAAAAAACATGCCTTGTAGTGGTAGGCTCTGGCAGCTCAAACTGTCTTGTTTAACAAGGAAACAGTTAACGATTGAGTTGATCACAATCTGTAAGTACCTACATGAAGAACAAATATTTGATAATTGGCTCTTCTGTCTAGCAGACAAAGCTATAATGAGATCCAATGGCTGGAAGTTGAAGCTAAACAAATTCAGATTAGAAATAAGGTCTAACACTAAGTGTAATTAACCACTGGAACAACTCACCAAGTATTGTA